ACAATTCAACATATTTTCTAAATTATATGCAAACTGATCAAAACATATTTCTGCATCTCAAGTTTTCCATGTCTTTGTGTTGTTAGTCTTTTGGTCGTTTTTAGTTTTTGCCATAGCATTGTCAGTTCGTATTCGAAAAATAAGTTTGACTATCCTTTTGATGTCTTCCGCCTCTCTTTTAAAGAAATTCAACAGACTACCAAAGATACACAATATACACCAAATCCCTCCATATATTTGTTTAATCGCTTAATGTTTTGGTATAATTGTGGTCGTTGGTTTTTCTCTTTTGAATTGTTCAACATTATGTCATGCCGGGGCCTTTATAGCTTACTACACGATATGCTCATTGTTGAAGGCCGTACATGACAAGTTACAAAAATAGAAAAATAAAATCTTATCTGTATTCTTAAATAGAATGTAATCCATAAGTATTACTAGAACGATTTCGGGGCGCCCGACACGTGTTTCTCAAATAGCCATTTCAATTGATATTTTATAGTGTGTCTTTTTATGTTGTAATTTTACACTACTGTTTCAGGTTAGGGTGAAGGTTGGCGCCTGTTAAAACGTTTGATCCCGCTGCATTTGTATCCACCTGTCCTAAGTCAGGAGCCTTTTGTTCAGTGGTTGTCGTTCGTGGTGTGGTTCATAAGTGTTTCTCGTTTCTCGTCTTTATATAGATTAGACGGTTGGTTTTCCTGTTTGGATTGTTTTACACTAGTCATTTTGGGGCCCTTTATAGCTTGCTGTTCGGTGTGAGCCAAGGCTCCGTGTTGACCTATAATTGTTTACTTTTTACACATTGTGATGTGAATGGAGAGTTGTCTCATTGGCACTCATACTACATTTTCTTATTTATATTGATCCAGCGCTTTCAAGACTAATTATTCATGTATATATGTAATCCTTTTATTTGCTCCAATAACCAAAGGCCGAAACTAGAACACATTTCTCTGATTATGCAACCGTTAAAGGCATGTAGTGAATGCAGATAGGTTAAGTAATACTATATACAATTGCAGTATGTGCACATGCCATTTTCATGAATGTTTTATCATCTAACATGTGTAGTTGAAGTAACAAAAAAGATCAAAACTGGCCCTGTATAATTTTCTCCATTTTATAGAAAAAGATGGTCAATTAAAAAAAAGCTTTTTATTTTCCTTTTACAAGTTATAAACCTAGATATACATAAAAACTCATCTAAGTACCAGGTTATAAAACAAACTAGCAAGTAAAGGTTGAAATTATGCTCAAATGCTCACATTGGCTGATATAGTTGAGCGTTTAATTTTGTCAGGATTTATGAACGTCCTCCTTTTTGAATTAACCTTAGAGCTTGGTATTTTTATTAAGTGCCAATCTGCCTAAGAATCAGGCAGTGGTGAAAACATGACAAACAAAAACTCACTCAAGTTGACATTATATTATGTTCAAATTGTATAATGATGCACGAATATAACATTTGTTTCCTTTTCCTGTTCTAGTAATTCAAGATATAATTTGGTTGAAATGCACCAGAAATTAACAATTAAGGGGAGCTAACTCCGTAATTTGCTATCATTCTAACAAAAAGTTATCTAGAGATTTTTCGAATTACCAGAGACGCAGAAACAAAAGACTTACAATTTCTAATTCAGGATGAGGTTAACTTCAAAATAGGGTGGTTAGGTCGGTAGGTTTTTTTTCGGCCATGTTTTGATTTTTTTTTCTAAATTGACTGATTCTTACAGAGACTGGCACTTAATACTTTTTTTTACAGAGCACATAAGTTCATCTATGTGTTCTTATGTGGTTCGTGTTGCCCAATCATAAATTCTTTTCTTTATTGGGGGTTTTATTTTTGTTTTTTTTTATTTACAATTTTTCTGACTATTCTTCTAAGACTTATACACTTGTGATTTATATTGCCTTCGTTGATACAGAACTGCATTAAAAACATTGTTTGTTTGTTTTGTGTTTTTTTTTTTTGTTATAAGCTCATTGGTGGCAACAAATTGTTTGGCGCAAAAGTATGTTTTAGCTAAAAATCAAATGGATTTACTGTATCGTCTTACTGTAAGCCACAGTCACGGCTATGGTTTTTATTTAACTTATCTTAAATCCTGTATTCAGACATTAAAACATTAATCAAACGATAATAATGATATTGTCCATTTTTCATATTTTCTGTGACATTAAAAACCGATTATGTGCTTTCTCTTAATGGAATAACAAATCAAAACTGTTTTGGTACGTAAAACGTAAACATCATTGATTCTGAATGTTATAGTAAGAAACCAAGGTTCCAACTCCCACAGGCCGCGAAAGTTGACCTTAATTTGATTTGACTATTAATGTTAGGTCCCTTTTGGTCGTATAGCTCTTTATGGTTCGGTACTTATACATTCTTGGCCTTCAAATATATGACTTTGAACGTTCCTGATGACGCGGTAAATCCAGAAAAGCATTCCGAATGCATAACATTTAAAAACTTGTTATTTTCATTTTGTGTACGATACAATAGCTGGGGAGAAATACACAGAAGTAGTATAAACTTTCATTCTGTCAAATTTTTCTGTTATTCGCCAAAGTCTGCATATTATTGAAAACATGTGCAACAACAATAGTTTGTAAAAAAAAGTATTAAGCAGCAGCTAATTTGACGTGTTCTATAGAGTAATGACTAAGAGAACACTCTTTTTCGCTTTGAATAAAGACCCTTAAATAGTAGTAACATCATATAGTTTTCGGTGCTTTGCCCAGAACCACTCTGGACTTAATGTTCGATGATTCTTTAAGGAACTGTCCTTAAAATAATTTGGCAATTATGTTAAAAGAAAGCTTTCCAGTTTTTGTTTTAAATCATTCGATACTTAAGTTGATATTTTTAAATCATTATATCCATGTTTATATTTTTTGCAATAATCCAAAGACACGTGGGGGGTAAACATGCAGTCTTGAACATTGAGTCGGTGGCATATTCGGCGAGCGTAGGCGAGCGTAAAGTGTGTTCACCCCCTCTTTTGATTGGGAACAGAATAGCTCGCATAATATCTTCAAAAACATTGCTCGAACTATGGCCATGATCCGCCCCTGTAAGTCTAAAACATTATGAATAATTAAAAGAAACTGCTAAAGATTTGCCATTAATTCCAAATTGAATTCCATTAATACATTTGTACATGACACATGACAACAGCTGACGAAGTTCCTGACTTGGGAAATTGAGGCTGGGTTAGATTTTTTTTTCTCAACCCTCTTCCTTTAATCTCGATCAATGGACTAGCAATATGAACATTAAAAAATGTTCGATAAATATCAGTACAGGAAAAGCACGGAACTCTAATATATAACGTTATAATAAATAAATTTCAAAAAATACTGCAAAATATTCCCATTTTGTTTCACACTCTAGCAAAGCAGCTTTTTCGTCATATTTCAAAAATAATTTGTATTTGTCGAATAATATAAATCAAAGATGTATGTTTCACATTCCAGTCAAAAACATAGTATTTGCTTCGGTAAAAATGTAAAATAACAAAAATACCGAACTCCAAGTAAAACTCAAAACGGAAGCGTCCCTTATCGAATGGCAAAATCAAAAGCTCAAACACATCAACGAATGGAAAAACAACTGTCATATTCCTGACTTGTTACAGGCATTTCCTTTTGTAGAAAATGGTGGATTAAACCTGGTTTTATAGATAGCTAAACCTCTCACTTGTATGACAGTCGCATAGAATTCCTCTCACTGGTATGACAGTCGCATATAATGCTGTTTATAACGTATCTTAAAACTATTATTATGTCCAAAGTCTATTTATGTGAAGCCGAAAAATCAAAAAGCCAATTCCTTTACGTAATCAAAATAAAAACACAAAAACTCTACAAAATAAAGCTTAAACACTGGCATAAGAACATTTTTCCTTCCCATTATTAGGTTTTGATGTTTTCGAAACTGTACCTAAACTAGTCCTACTACATTGTAAAAAAACACACTGGTATAGAAACCAACACAAAAATGATACTCAAATGTTCCTATGTATAAAGTCTTATCTTGCATTTTCTTAATGCATAATAGTTTTCACTTGTAAAAGACATTTCTTCATATGAATAAAAGAGAGATGTGGATAAGACATCGACCAAGCAAAATATTTAACGAAAATTCACATTATAGAGAACGGTATCAGCTTTTCTTTTAATACATAATGTTTACATTGGCACCTTTTCGCTATTTAATTACTGTCTTTTGTAGAATCATAATAAAATAGTTATACGTTTTAACATAATTTAATATAAAACGCAAAAAAAAACAGTTGACATTAGATCGTTAAGTATCCCATTTATTAACACAATAGAGAAACCTACTGTCATTTAGACCATCTACAATCCAACTCAAAATTTTATATTTTCATTCAGTAGCTCCAAAAGTATGTCACTTCAAATTGCTTATGAAACAACTTGTTGAGCTGTCGCCATACTTCAAACACGTGCAAGTCACTAGAAGCTTTTTGGTGATTACAAACGTCTTTTGGATGTTTAAGCAATAATTACCGGTCCTTAAAAACATATTGGATTAGGGTTTACATTAAACATAAGATTTGTGGAGATAAGTATTTTTGTTTCTGGATATGTTAACAATTTTACACTAGGATGTACAAATCCTAAATATACGCTTAATAATGATTATGCATAAATTTGACATAGCTTTAGACACAACTGTTGCCAAATAACCAGCAACTATGAAAAAAGGTACAACAGGGTAACGTTACTACACCAAATGTTCAAGAGATTAAAATAAATTTTGAAACAAACTTTAAATTTTTTTAAATATTTTTAAACAATAAATTATGGATTGTTTTTCAAAAAACGACACTTAAATATAAAAAAACAATCATAAAAATCGTAATAAACGTGATAAATTATCCCAATTAGAACCCCAAAAGGACTTCTCCTGACGTTGCGAATTTCGCGCACAACTGTTAAAGCATTGACAAGAGAGTGGTATAAAAAGGCAGGTAAGAGTGTTCATCAACGTACAGGGACTCACTTGTCAGTAATCAACATGGTCTTCAAAATCCTGACCGTGTGTCTTGTTGCATCTCTTCTAGAGACTTGCTTAGCTGGTAAGTATAAGTAACATCAACATAAAGCATTCTAAGAAAACAGTCGGCTTTAAGTATTTCAACTTGTAAATTTAACCCAAAAAAAAATAGTTTTTCACTTTTCATGCTTAAAACATTTTTGAACATTAACAAAAAAATCAAATTCTGCTTTAAGTATTTCAACTTGTCTTTTATAATTCAACAAACAATACAATTTTATACTTAAAACATTTTCAAACATTCAGAAAATGATTAAATTCATTCTTCTAAATCAAAGTTTGCTTAAAGAATTTCAATTTGTCTAAAATGATTTATAAAAAAATAGAAATCAAAGTATACTTTAAGTATTGCAACGTGTCATTTATAAGTTAACAAGAAAATTAGATTTTCATACTTGAAATATTTTTAAACATTAAGAAAAACATCAACGGAAATCATTCTTCGAAATCAAAGTATTTCAACTTGTCTTTTATAATTAAATAATACAAATCGGTTTTCATGCTTTAAAGCATGTTGAAACGTTTGAGTTCCAAATGCTTGTATGCGAGTCTTGTATTCGGCAATGAACTTCTAAACTTCTAATTTCTAAAATTTGAGTATTTTTTCTTATTTCTAAAAGTTGAATAATGTTCTTATTTCTAAAAGTTAAATCCTTTTCTTATTTCTAAAAGTTGAATAAATAAGTCACATCAAAATGTTGAATTATTAACAACGTCTTAAGAATCATTTCCTTGTTACTTTGTATTACTAAGTATGAAATAGTCTTATGGTTTGGTTCGTTTCTTAAAAAATAAATTCGCAATATCGTAATTCCGACAATTCGACAACACGTGGTAAAATATATATGAAGATATGCCTAGTTTCAAATATTAAGTAAAAATGTTTCAGGGAAGAGATAGAAAAAGATAAACATTCAAGCTTCTAGATTCTAAATATACATCTAACTAATTTTATAATTTTTCCAAATTGTATTATACTGTTCATAAATTTTAACGAACATTTCATAAAACCAATGGACATCATTTCCCTTCATAGATTTTTCAAATGTTTCTGTGTCAAACATGTTCACAGTCATATTTGTTCTTCCATACTTTGGGAGTATTCTAAATAATATTAAAAAAGACTTTATTTTAAAGAAAATGTTATTATTCTGAATTTTACGCAAACTTTATCAAAGAAAGTATTTTACATACATTGAAGATCTGATTGGATAGTAATTTACCTATTTTTATGATCTAATTGGACAAAAATTTACAGAAATTGAGGGTTCGATTGGGTAAATATTTTACATACCTTGAAGATCTGATTGGATAGTGATTTACCTATTTTGATGATCTAATTGGATACAAATTTACAGAAATTGAGGGTTCGATTGGATAAATATTTTACTTACCGTGAAGATTGATTAAAAAAAACTTAACATAAAACATTAATGGGGATCCGATTAGGTCAAACTTTTACAGCATTGGAAATCTGCTTGGATTAAAAAAAGTATTAAAATGAAGGTACGATTAGGTTAAAAAAAATAAAAAAAACTGAAGATCTCTAATCTTAGACAGAGTTAGACAAGAAAAGAAAATTAATTCAGTTATCAAGTTGTCGTTGTTTTGCAGACTATGGCAGGAAGTATGGCAAACCTTCTTATGGCGAATACGGAGGTAATAATTTCTCTAATTGCCTTCCATATAATTTCAAACTTTTCCAGAACAGTTTACACAAGACGGGTTTGATTGATATCAACTTATTACAAACTCCAGAAATCCATATATATTTCGCAACTAATTCAACTCAATTATTTAGTTATCAGTGGAACTTGAAACGATTTCTACATTTGATTTGAAATAACATATAAATAACTTATTTTCAAAGATTTTTGACAAATTGGGCCCTATCAGCCTTTAATCAACCAAAAGTACATTACCCTTTTACGCAATATGATTAATTGCGCCCACTAGATTCCCCTTTTACTATAACTAATCAGTTGATTGGTTAATACTATACCACGTGATACTTGACAAAATTCATTAAATATTTTCAGGAAAGAGAGGTGGCGGTCGTGTCAGTGGAGCCGTAGCCCATGCCCATGCCCATGCCCACGCAAGTTCAGGTAAATGTTTTGAATTTTGTCAAGATCGATGAAATCGTTTTTTATTCTTTTATTTTGTGAGATATTTGTCTATATTAAGTATTACTGGGAGATCAAGAAGAGGATTCTAGGAACCCCGCTTCTTGGGAGAATAAAAATCGACGAAACTAATCCTGAAACTCAATTCTGAACCCAACTGGAACCCTTTAACCATAATTTTAATTTTGTATTGGTCCCACACATGGAAAGTATAACTGCACATCCACTATATGCCAAAAGGTTTATTTCAATAACTCACCACAATTTTCCAACAACAAAGCTTTTGTTCACTCTCCTTGGGGATTGCTCTATGTTTGGTATCTGCATTTGCAATTGAATATAAGGAACATAAAATAGTGCATCGACAAGGAAGATTTTATGGACTGTTATTTTACCCATACAGGTGTTACAGGTGAAGTGTTTGTATATACTGTTTTTTATCTGAATTTTTCTATCACATATTTCTTCAAAATATATTTTAGGCGCAGACGGAAGATCAAGAGCACATGCACGAGCAGTTGCCCATTCACATTCCGGTGGTGGTGCAGCACATGGACACCCAGGATGTAAGTTTCTCATTACACATAGCCTTGTAACAATGTAACATTAACTTATACAACCCGAAACAAATATATAAATTCTTATATTTCTTTATTTTAGTCCCCGCTGGTAGCGCAAGTGCAGCCGCACGAGCAGCAGCTAGAGCAGGAGCAGTAGGAGGATTCGGCGGAGGTATGAATAACACACGAATATTTATCGGTTGAAATCGACCAATGAATTTCAAGTTTATATGTTTCAAATTGTCTACCTTGATTCAAAGCTTCAAAAAAATAGACATTTCCCTAATATTTGCTAAAATTTGAACTTGAATTATTGAAAGAAGACTTTTTTCATTTTCTCATGAAATATCTATATTGTTTGTATCATATTAATCAATTTTTAGAATATAATAATTCCACTTCCGCTTAAGATATATTATAGTAGGGAAATTCATCATAGGGATATTCAATGGAGAGAAATTATACTTTTATAAAATGCCAGAATAGTTCATCAAAACGATATCAGTTTTTCATAGTGAAAAGATCTATTTAAATTTATTCAAATAATCGAGTTATTATCTCTCTTGATGGTTATCTCCCTTGATTTTACAGGTGGATTCGGATCAGCATCAGCAGCAGCAGCAGCTAGAGCAGCAGCAGCAGGAGGAGGATTAGGAGGTATGTATAACACGAAAATTTATTGGTTGACATCGACCAATGAATTTCAAGTTTATATGTTTCAAATCATCAGACTTGATTCAAAACTTCAAACAAATTGAAATTTCCCTAATATTTGCTAAAATTTGAACTTAAAATGATTAAAAGAAGACTTTTTTATTTTCTTATGAAATATCTACATTGTTTGAATCCTATTAATGAATATTTAAAATATATAAATTCCGCTTTCGCTAAAGACAATTTACATTATAGTAGGGAAATTCATCTCAAGTTATGTTCAATGGAGAGAAATTATACTTCTATAAAATGCCAGAATAGTTCAGCAAAACAATACCAGTTTTTCATAGTGAAAAGATCTACTTAAATTTATTCAAATATTCGAGTTATTATCTCTATTGATGGTTATCTCCCTTGATGTTACAGGTGGATTCGGATCAGCATCAGCAGCAGCTAGAGCAGCAGCAGCAGCAGGAGGATTCGGCGGAGGTATGTATAACACACGAATATTTATTAGTTGAAATAGACCAATGAATTTCAATTTTATATGTTTCTAATTGTTTAACTTGATTCAAAACCTCCAAAACATTGAAATTTCCCTAATATTTGCTAAAATTTTATCTTGAATTATTTAAAGTAGACTTTTTCATTTTCTAATGAAACATCTGTATTGTTTGTATTCTATGAATGAGTTTTTAAAGTATATAAATTCCACTTCCGCTAAAGACAATTTATATTAAAATAAGGAAATTCATCGTAAGTTATATTCAATGGAGAGAAATTATACTTTTATAAAATGCAAGAATTGTCCAGCAAATAATACCAGTTTTTTCATAGTGAAAAGATATATTTAAATTGATTCAAATATTCGAGTAATTATTATCTCCCTTGATGATACAGGTGGATTCGGATCAGCATCAGCCAATGCAGCAGCAAACGCAGCAGCAGGAGGATTTGGAGGATTCGGCGGAGGATTCGGCCCAGGATTCGGTGGTCCAGGTCAACCAGGTGGTCCAGGAGGTCCAGGAGGTCCAGGTGGTCCAGGAGGTCCAGGTATGCCAGGCGGTCCAGGAGGTCCAGGTGGACCAGGTATGCCAGGTGGTCCAGGAGGTCCAGGAGGTCCAGGAACCGGTGGTCCAGGTCAACCAGGTGGTCCAGGTGGTCCAGGAGGTCCAGGTATGCCAGGCGGTCCAGGAGGTCCAGGAGGTCCAGGTATGCCAGGCGGTCCAGGAGGTCCAGGAGGTCCAGGTGGTCCAGGAGGTCCAGTTGTAGGTGGCGGAATTCCAGGTACTTTGGATTTAAATGGTTAAATGAGTATTAACTTGATTCCCTACCGATTTCAATTAGCACCCACGTAAAAATGTAAAAGTAATATTAAAGAATGCTGTTTCTATCTGATCAAAATAATATTAAAGAATGCTTTAAGAAAGGATAGCATGCCATTAACACCTTTTTTCATTATCTGTTCTTTAAGGGAAAAAACAACAATACAAAATGTAGTAAGGTCTGGACAAGTTAAGGGTGGTGCATAAAGATAAGAAATATATGTGTTCTAGGATTTATGAAGGGTAGATAACTCTTTCAATTTTTCATTTAGGCATAACAGGACCAGCAGGACCCCCAGGCCCAGCAGGACCACAAGGACCACAAGGTAAGTTCTTATTGTTTTAATTGGGTAAACGAGAGAAAAGGACTGTTTAAAGAGATAAAAGTTTAATTGAGATTTATTTCTGATTCCTTGGTTTCTTTTTCTATTAACGTTTTCTCGCTTATTTCTGATTCGTTTAATTACTTTGATTAATATCATTCAAAAGTGTGTAGAAAAAAAAATGTTTTCAATACAAATTAACAACAAATAAGGATATGAAAAGTCTTTAAGCCAAAAAGGCAATTATTATACAGGGACCAAGAGGACTATTTGTGTTAAATCATACCTGAACATTTCTCTTTTTTAGGTGAACAAGGACCACGTGGACGAACCCCAGCAGGAACACCAGGCCCACCAGGCAATCCAGGCGAACCAGGTGAGCTATCTCATTAGCGAATGATATATATGACAAAGTGGCACAAGTATTTGTGAAAGGAACATATTTTACTGTGAACACTTTAATACTTTCAGTGGTCAATAGTAAGAACTTCGGTACTGACATTTTTTCTTGAGTTCTCTGTTGATAAATTTAGGGAATTGGCTATTTCTTAAGTCCCCATATAGCTCCTCAATCATTCGAATATGTATACCCTCTTCACGTTTTTAATTTTGGCATTTCTGTTGAGAAAAACTTCGAAAGCACCCAAATTTATGAAATAGCGTTTCAATTTCAGCAATGAATGCGAAAGTATCATTATCGGTACCATTTAATTTCCTGTATCATCTTTCTTAAATAGTATGACAATTGTCTCAAAGTAATTATGCTGGAATTGAAGTTTGTTTACAAATATTACGATGTTTCCTTCCCCCAGGACAAGCAGGAGCACCAGGAGCACCAGGAGCACCAGGACATGGAGGAAAACCAGGCACCGCAGGAGCAACAGGAAAAGCAGGACGCCCAGGACCAAGAGGACAACCAGGAGCATCAGGATCATCAGGACAACACGGAGCATCAGGTAAAATAATGATAAGTACCCCGATGTGGGGTGTACATCAATGAATCAGCATTGCAACGACACACAAAAAAAAACAAAAGTATAACTTTCTTTTTTTTTTATGAGGGAAAATTCATCAAAATTTATACACACGATGTCCGTAATTTCTATCTGAAATAGATATTAGTGAGGATATTTTTAGCTGCAAAGATCGATACACTTATTGTGTTTTTATTTAATGTGGGAAAATCATTGTCCTAGTTTTCTATTTTACTGTCGTACATAAGGGTCATAATACCTGTTTAAACGATAATATCAACTCTTTTGTCATATCTAATAGGAGCACCAGGTCGTCCAGGTAACCCAGGATCAACAGGACGTCCAGGAGCAACTGGAGATCCAGGCAGACCAGGAGCAACCGGAACAGCAGGAAGACCAGGACCATCAGGAGCCCCAGGAAACCCAGGAGCACCAGGTAAAGAACATTATTTTTGATTCGCTAGTTTTGCTGCCTGCAATGTTTTCTTCTTAGATCACAATTCCAATTTTATTATGATAACTGATGGCATATAATTAGCTGCGATGCATAATACGCTTTCGTTTGATTGGTAATCTTATTTTTTCATACAAAATTCGTATCTAACATTTAAAGTAAATTTAATGAATAAATATCAAACAAATTAGTTCTTGTAAAACGTTTTGCTACAAAGCATAGTTATCTTCTGTTAGAAAAGCACGCATAACGCCTATGCTTCATTAGAAAGAAGTATTAGCTGAACAATTAAATACAAATATCAGACAGTAGCAACATACATATACCTTTATCTTTTGTATATTAACTCGTACCAATCTTTGTTTCTAGGAGCAATCGGAGCACCCGGACCACGTGGAGCACCAGGATTTGTTGGATTACCAGGTATGTTTCTTTATTCAAAGCATTTAAATAACATTGAAAATGTATTTGGAAGTAACGTCTTTTTAAAAAAAAACATATAATAATGTGAACATATCTTTTCAGTACAACTCATTTTAATTTTAATTGATATCTGTTTGATAGTCACCACCTATTAAATGTATTGGTAATTTGTTCTCGTCCTGAATATGCATGACATGTTTGCCACTGGACGTTAAGCACAAGATGCCAGTTTTTAATTCGTATCTTAACCCCTTTTAAAGATGTGAATAGATATTTATCTACGTAATAATATTTTAATTTTACATTTGTAGTACATGTACGAAAATACCATTTGCTTCCGATTAAATCTACATTGTTTTATTGTTTTAAGGACCAAGAGGCTCCCCCGGAGAACCAGGAAACCAAGGACCAATCGGAGGCCCAGGTATACAAACTACTTGTTCTATAAAAGAGATTAAAAAATGTATCACTCGCAATGTTTAATTTCCGATTAAATCTGATGTAACGAAATTTTGAATCGTTGTTTACTCTTTTCTCAAAAACATCAATACTTCATATTTTTATTTACTATCTGTTTATGTGTTTTAAGAAATATAATCAGAACGGCCAATTTAAAAAAAAGTTACATTGTAAAATATATAGTAGTGCAATACTAATATTTGTCTTTTCTTTGTTTAAAGGATATCCCGGACCAACAGGACCACAAGGTAATTTCAATGAATATTGTTTTCCTATTTGTAAACAATTGAAAAAAAAAATCAAACAGTTCAATTTTCAGCCTCTGTATTTCACAAATGTATACAATCTGTATGCATCTTTACCTGAAATCACAATAATTGATCTCGATTTTTGGTTTATTACGTCAAAATCGCAATAATTAATTCTCGCAATAATTTTTGAATTTGCAATAGTTATAATTTGCAACTAAAATTTGTATTACCTTTAAATGCATGCACTTCAAATGAATTTGATGCTAAATTTCATGCTTTTGTAGGACCCGATGGCGCAATGGGACCACAAGGACCATGTGGAAATAGAGGAGCACCAGGAGTACCAGGCAAACAAGGACCAGTTGGCGGGCAAGGACCAGCAGGGCCAAGAGGTATCAACTCAATTTCGTAACAACAATTATCCATCTTATTTTCATTTGACACAAGTAACATAATAATTGGTATTCACTTATTACACTAAGATAATCATTAACCAGAAAATAATTCCAAAAGCCATGATTATATAAAATTAAATCATTATAATATGAGGCCCCTCATGGGGGTGTCCAAGTAATCACATAATCACAATTTTTTGCCAATATAATCACATATTCATTAATTATTTTTTTAAACAAGAGTATCAAATAATCAAATAATCATGAAATATTTGGTCTGGTAATCAAATATAAATCACCATAAAAACGGCCAAGTAATCACATAATCAAAAACCCCATGATGAGGCTCTAATGTATCTTTTTCTTTTTAGGACCAAGGGGAGATGAAGGACCAGTAGGACCAAAGGGCGAACCAGGAGCAAAGGGAGCTGATGGTAAACCAGGAGACAAAGGAGGTGATGGGGATACTGGACCACAAGGACCAGCTGGACCTAAAGGCGAAGTTGGAGACCAAGGCGCACCAGGACCAAAGGGTAGAGAGAACTTTTATAAAGCCTCGAATTAGATGATTTGATTTAAATGTGTCATACCTATTAATAGTACCGTTTGAGAAATGTGCGATATGATATTTTGCTATGTTTTATTTAAAATTTGTTCTAACATTTTAATCATTTTGAAACTAAAACTTAGTTTTAATTTTTTTTGGGCTTTTAGTATAAGATCACTACAATAATGAAACTTTAACTTCAGACTTAAATTTTTTTTCTTCTTCTTTGTTTATCAATAGGAGAAACCGGAGATCAAGGAGCAAGAGGTGAAGCAGGAAAGGCCGGTGAACAAGGACCAGGAGGCATCCAAGGACCAAAGGGACCAGCAGGAGGACAAGGACCAGCAGGTACCATATGAAAGACAACCCAATGTTTTTTTGTGTTTTGTGACATATTTAAAATGGTTCAAATTACATGAAAGGACAATATCAGTAACATTTTTAAGGAAAATAAGCAAATAATTACTTACCTATATTTTTGAAACACATCAGTTATAATTAAATACCATTCTCCTGTCAGGTAAATAGTTATATAAACATATGATATACATAAACGAGTTATCTCACTATGCTATTTATATTCTTAGGACCAGCCGGACCACTAGGCCCACAAGGACCAATGGGTGAACGAGGAGCGCAAGGACCAACAGGACCAGAAGGACCAGTTGGTAAGCCCACAGTTTATAACTTAATTAGATTTTCATTCTCGTTCTATTGGTCATTTATATTTATAAAGGATAACATTCACTATCTAACCTTTAACGTCGGATTCTTGTTCGTGTTACGTCACAATCAAACCGTTTGAATGCAATTATTTCGTTTCTACATTTCTTAAACAAACTTTTATATCCACAATAGGAGCACCAGGACCAAAGGGATCAGTTGGAGACCAGGGAGCACAAGGAGACCAAGGAGCAACAGGCGCAGACGGCAAGCAGGGAGAACCCGGAGAACGTGGACAACAAGGAGCAGCAGGCCCAGTTGGCAGACCAGGACCAAGAGGAGATAGAGGAGCAAAGGGTTAGTAGCAGTTGCAAATTATCGGTCATTTACGATGGTTGAATCGGTAATATACTGCAATGTTATTTTCACAAATGGAAAAAGTTAATTGTTTGACTATTTGATGAAATGATTTTAATAGGAATTATGATAATTTTATTTAAAATTTAAACATGAAAAACAAAGAATGCATTAATAATATTTTTTAAAGCTTGTCATATTTTTTTAATTATTCCCAAACTTTAGTGGCCAATGATCATATGTTTATGTCAATCGATCGACAACTTAAACCATTGAAATTCAACCATTTCTTAATTTAAACCAATAAAATTCAACCATTTTCAAACAGGAATCCAAGGAAGCCGAGGACGACCAGGTGCAATGGGTAGACGAGGAAACCGAGGATCACAAGGAGCAGTTGGACCACGAGGAGAAACAGGTATAAAACAACACCCCTTTTTTCTTGAAAAAAAAGCAGCATTGTAATGTTTATTACTACAAAACACAATGTAATGTTTATAATTACAAAACTCCATAGATAATATTTATTGATAACATTTTGAGTAAACGTGTAAAATTGTATGCATGTACACTGTGATATAAAACAAAATACTTATTTAAACCAAGATGTAATATTTGTGATTTATTTTGGCCGACTTTAATTTTTGGGAAATGTTGTTCTCATCGCGATATATAGCCAATGTGAACTGACGCGGAATTAAACCGCAATCAATATATCAAACTTTATCATAAAAGTCAATCATGTTTACTTATTCCACATATCTATATTTTAGGCCCAGACGGTAACCAAGGACAACGTGGAGAACAAGGAGCACCAGGAGTTATCACCCTTGTCATTGAAGACCTCAGAACAGGTATTATTGACAGCCTTTTTATTTTTTATTTTTACAATTACCATGTTTTAATATAGGCATTTGAAAATATGAAAATAAATATTTAACGGTATTGGTAATCTTAACTATACTAAATAACCTAGTTACAAAAATTAAATCTTCCTTTCTCATTGTTTTACATACATTGTCGAACCAGTGCGACTGTGTAAAAGGTCGACAGTTCTTCAAAGATATGTGTACCACACCTAAAACTTTAATACATGTTGAAATAAGAATAGGCAAGTTTTCATAATTAATCATTGCACTTAAATTTGAATTATGGTTAAATTCGTTTTTGTAAAAAAAATAATTGAACGAATCGGCATATTACTGAAATATTCATGATTCTCATTCTTTATTTTCAGCCGGAGTAGAAAGCGTAAGTAACTACTACTTCATACAGCATTATAATACTGATGTTCGAGTTATTCCATTTTTTTAAAGAAGCAAAATTGATACTGGACTTTTAGATACCAAATGTCAATAAATTTATTATATAACAGTACTGTAGTATATAGTTGTATTGGAAAAGAGAAGTAGTAAGTCAGAATGTCACGTGATTTATTTGATTTTCATTTGTTCCTTGATTGGACGAAGTTACTTGAATACAAACGTACATGATCTCTGAAAGCATCTATCATCGCAGTAATTAAACTAATAAAGAAGTGAATTTTAGTATAAAAAAGATAATTCTTTTCTGTCAGAACTTCTGCATATGTGCATATTTGCATATCCGGTACATCTATATTCTTATGTATAACCATCTGATTTCAGCCTGTTGAAGCCTTTGACGCCGGAGCAGGACCCGGTGGTGCAGGACCATTTGGAGGAGCAGGACCATTTGGAGGAGCAGGAGCAGGTGCTGGTGCTGGTGGAGCAGGACCATTTGGAGCAGGACCATTTGGAGCAGGACCATTTGGAGGAGTAGGTGGAGCAGGAGTAGGTGGAGCAGGACCAGGTGGAGCAGCAGGACCAGGTGGAGCAGCAGGACCAGGTGGAGCAGCAGGAGCCGGTGGACTAGGTGGACTTGGTAATTATATCATATTTCTCTTTAAAGTTATAATGTAATGAAAATTAGTATGGTCATCAACAATATTTTAAATTCGAATGAAAATGAAATTCTGACGCTTAAGTTATTCAATGTTGCTTTGTACTAAACAAATACATGATGAAGTTGTTATTTTTTGCGAAATAATGGTGTTAGGAATGATAACAATACCTTAAAATACGATCAAGTACTGCATTGTTACATGCTTGATTACATATGAAATATGATTAAATTTTATCTTTACCATGTATTTTCGATAAAAGTAAATTTACTCAATTTACAATATCTAAATAAGAAGATGTGGTATGATTGCCAGAGAAACAACTATCCACCAGAGACCAAATGATGTAGATCTTAAAGATAAATCACAGTAACGCATTTTCGAAATTCCTTCATTTGTATACACTGTTTTCTCATTTGTCCTTATCGGTTGTGATTTAATTTGCAGGAGCTGGAGGTTTAGGTGGACTAGGAGCTGGAGGTTTAGGCGGACTAGGAGCTGGAGGTTTAGGCGGACAAGGAGCTGGAGGTTTGGGCGGACTAGGAGCTGGATTAGGAGGCGGTCTTGGCGGACTAGGAGCTGGATTAGGAGGCGGTCTTGGCGGAGGAGCAGGAGCAGCAGCAGCAGCACAAGCAGCAGCAGCAGCAAATGGAGGACTCGGAGGTGGATCAGCAGCAGCAGCAGCACGAGCAGCAGCAGCAGCAAATGCAGGACTCGGAGGTGGAGCAGTAGCAGCAGCACAAGCAGCAGCATCAGCCGCAGCAAATTCAGGACTCGGAGCAGGAGCAGCCAGAGCAGCAGCAAGTGCAGCAGCTAGAGCAACCGTAGCAGGAGCAGGACGTGGAACAGCAGCAGCAGCAGCCAGTGCAGCCGCACAAGCACATGCAGCTACAAAAGCACAAGGAGGATCACACGCACATGCTGCCGCTGCAGCTCAAGCAGCTGCCAGTAGTGTAATCCATGGAGGTGGACACGGTGGACACGGTGGACACGGTGGTGACTATCACAAACCAGGATATTAAACTAATTGACACTAATAGACATTTAACTATTGTAAATTGAATATGTTACTTTATCAATAAAATCTGCAAGTGTTTCCAGTATCTATTACTTATTGTTTTTCGCTTACATATATGAATATAGAAATAAAAACAAAAGGAAGTAATTTAAAAAGTAAATTTGATGTGAGGTATACTTCAGTGAGGCAGTTATCCAACTACACAATAGAACCAAACTAAAGTTATCTAAAGGTCAATAAAGGTCAGGATACAGTTTCAACAATTGACAAATACCTATACCGGAAGTCAAGTTCTGAAACGATCATGTGAATATAACACAGGCTTCCACAGTTCTGCGATCAGCACTTTTCTGGGTTGGAGGTGATTGGGGTCTATGATACTGCAGACCGGAAATACACGACATGAGTCAGTTTACAAATTGTGAATACATTTTAATAACACAATTTAACAACTGGGTTATTGATGGCCTCATTCTAATACATAGTTTTTAATTGACGTGATTTGCAGTTGCGTAGAATGGCAATTTTTAAGTGTACGCACGAAACTTCGACGAGTGGTCTGAAGGCCCCAGGGCAGAGGATCTACGGGTAGGGGCGAAATCCCCGGAAGCTCACGCGTTATCGTGGAAAAGATACCGTTTCTGTCATTCAAAATGCATTAAAAGCAATATACTTGGTCGGTTGAGAACAACACTTTACAACATAACAGATGATTTCAGCTTCTTTGTTGTGAATTTTCCATTTCTATGTAACAACATTCCAGTAGAACCTAAATATGGAGTATACATCTCCCAATTGATACGTATGATATTTCAGAACTTGCATTTCCCATCATGATTTCCTTGAATGCGGTTGCTACTAACAATGAAGATATGATACCAAGAGTTCCAAGTGGTGAAGATCAAAGCTTCCCTTCGAAAATGTTAAGATCGCAATCACAACTTGGTTTGACTGTTTCACAGATGACGACGGACATGTTCCATTGTTGTCAGCACAATTCCGTCCTCTTTTCCTCGAATTTGACCTACCGAATTAAGACTTATCACATCACCGAGTTTTCACTTTCATGAGCAACAAGACGGGTTCCACATGTGGAACAGGATATACCTACCCTTCGAGAGCACCTGAGATAACCCCTGCGTTTAGGTGGGGTTCGTAATGCCTAGTTTTTAGTTTTCTATGTTGTCTTTTATGTACTGTTGTTTGTCTTTTCGTCGTTTTTCGTCTTTTGAAATGGCATTATCAGTTTGTTTTCAACCGATGAGTTTGAATATCCCTTTGGTATCTTTTAAAGGTTGAATTGGGTTTTTTTCATATTGATTTGGAATCTTATGATCCTTTGTTTTAAAGAAAAATGCCCAAACCAGTTACTTTACAATATGTTTAAATGGAGAGGTTGGGTAAACCAATCACACGTCAAAAAATGAAAACTTTATAAAAATAGTAAGAAAAGTAAGTTCGATTCATTATTTTAACTTCATATAATTTTCACAATTTTTACTGAAAATTTTCGTAAATGGACGCATGAAATAATTAATGTTCATAGATGGTCAGGTGTAACATAAAAATGCAAGCCATACATATTGTATCCCGGTCAGCAGATACTTAATTGCTTTAAACAATTGTAATCTGAGTAGAATATTCACAGTAGATTCAAAGTTGGGAAGAACATGAAGACCATTTGATTAAAAAGTAAATTTTGTCACTTTAAATTTATTTTCTTTAACGAGTTATCGAAAAAGCATTCCCTTTATTTATTTGGATCAAGATATCTTTCCCTCCAAAATTCATGTGCACGCCCGGCCGTTTTGACGTAAACGTAGCTACGCGCCTGATTTGAGATGGATTTATTAACTTTGGTTTTCATGTTAGTGGACAAACTGATTCATTTTCTTATTTGACAAGACAAATTAAAATATGTTGTTCAAGGAGTTTGACAAGGGAACCTTACTTGATCATAAACAAATTCAAATTGGTCAGAAGGGAACTATTTCTAAAGTCTTGCGATCAGTACGGTTGATTTATGAAGGAGTTTGTGCATGTAGACTTCCAATATAGCGACAGAGGGAAATAACTTAATAAAATTAGGTTAATCGAAAACAATACTCACTATAGCACAGTACATAACAATAACAAAGCACAGTACACAACAATAACTAATCACAGTATACAACAATAACTGCATAGCAATAACCAAGCACAGTACACACCAATAACCAAATACAGTATACAACAATAACTAAATAACAATGACAATTCACAGTACACAAAAACTATTCACAGAACACAGCAATTACCAATCACAGTACACAACAATAATCAATCACAGTACATAACAATAATTAATCACAGTATACACCAATAATTGATCACAGTACACAAAAACTATTCACAGAACACAGCAATTACCATTCAGAGTACACAACAATAATCAATCACAGTACACATCAATAATCAATCACAGTACACACCAATAATCAATCACAATACACACCATAATCAATCACAGTTCACAACAATAATCAATCACAGTAAAAAACAATAATCAATCACAGTACACACCATTAATCAATCACAGTATAAAACAATAATCAATCACGGTACACGACAATAATTGATCACGGTATACAACAATAATCAATAACAGTAAACACCAATAATCAATCACAGTACACACCAATAATCAATCACAGTACACACCAATAATCAATCACAGTACACAACAATAACCAATCGCAGTACACAACAATAATCAATCAGTACACACCAATAATCAATCACAGTACACAACAATTATCAATCACAGTACACACTAATTATCAATCACAGTACACAACAATAACCAATCACAGTACACACCAATTATCAATCACAGTACACACCAATTATCAATCACAGTACACAACAATAATCAATCACAGTACACAACAATTATCAATCACAGTATATTACAATTATCAATCACAGTACACACCAATAATCAATCAGAGTCCATAACAATAACCAAGCACAGCACACAACAATAACGTGATTAAAACACAAGTATCCCAGTGAGTTCATCATTCGGCTCACCTCGTCAGATCTAACATAATGTAGAGTAGCCAAATCTGCCGAGGTTTGCCGAGGTTACACTGTATAAAACATATATGACGACTTATCCTTATAGGTTTTTGACTATGCCTTGGCAGCTTATGAGGCTCAACTTAATTATGAAAAAATAAATTTAAAACAAAAAAGGGCAAGCGAGTAAACAGTAAAACAAAGGATACAGATAACTACATGATAAAAAGAAAAGACAAAGAAAACAGCAACGGTCCACAAAACGTTACGCAGCAAACAAATGAAAGAGAAATGCGACTACAAACCGAGCTCCGGGACTGTATAGAAGTGTGAATAGTTTCCCCTTTAAATATGCATCTGCCGTGTAGTTCTTTTAACCTTTTTAGGCCTTTTTAAAGATTACATTACGTTGTTCAATTCCTCAAACAAAGCATTTTACGTCAAATATGCGCATTTGGAATTACCATCGACGCCATAGTACTTGACCCGAAGTTAATATGTTTGACCTGGGCTATTATTTATGAATTAGGCTAGACTGTGTATGGAAAATAAAACATACAATAGTAAATACACAAAAAAATATTATTCATCAGACTTACGCGGATGTGATTAGACTCGTGAATAGTCAAAATATATTGTCCCAGATTACACTGACACGCGATACTGTTAGTTCTGAAACATTTTTACTCTCTTGATTGAAATAAATTGTTTCAGGTAAAAGTGATACTCTATATTTCATTGTCATCAAAGAATACTTTAAATTAACTGTTTGGTACTTGAACATAAAAAATGGATACAGCATGGTGTAGCAGTCTTCGTTCTTCATCACGATCACGTGATTCCAAGGGTATTCCATGTACCTGAAGCCTTTTTTCTATTTTTAAGTATATGAACGCTATGTTTTTATTTATATAATGTATCGACGATCTTTATTAAATATCTTGTAAAATACAAAGAAGGAATATAGAAGTTCATAATACACTTTTTACATATGTAATATATAAATTAAGGACTTTAACGCGGTCAGTATGCTATATATGGACCTGTTAGATTATATTGAGTCATATAATGACACTCGGAATTCGTCCTCGGTCAATATAATCTGAAATATATTTCATACGACAATCATTACCTATTTATATACTTTACCATCAGATAAATAATGGACATCTTAATCAAATGCAATCGGCATTAAATCATTCTTAATAATTCGCCGTTTCAGATGCTAATGCATTCTGGGTAACTTCATTGTTCGTACCTAAAAATGAAAACAACGTCACTCATTGATTGAATTTCAATTGTTTAGGACGTTGTTAGCCAATCATAACCCGAATAATTCAGTACCTCCCCGTGATCGACTCTCCCACTCGCGAGGGCCTGAATTCTTTATACAATAAAAACGCGTCACGAATCCAGGATTTTGATTGGTGCTCTCTGTGAGAGAGAGCCAATCAGCTAATAGCTCAATGTTATCGAGATAGGTAAATCCCGAGCTAATTCCGAATGATTATTTGACGATTTTTCATTGACAAGGCCTCCAGGCGTTAATGTAGCCATCGTAGAGTAGTGAAATATAACGACTAAATTATTCGGGTTAAGCCAATCACAGTGTTTTGGTGTACGCTTTTGAAAATACTTAACTATAAAACTCCAGTGAATGTTCTGTTCAATCACTAGGATCTTCATGCGGTTAAAGTCATCAAGTGTGTGACCAGACTGTCTGAAATGCTGAGAAACTGGTGAAAAGGTATATTTTAACAAAACGCATTTGACTAGCAGGTCGAACAACTGATGTTCTTAAACCCTGCTGACTGCCATTGGCGATTGCCAAATTAACGGATCACAAGATGGAACAAAACAGATCTTATTATTAAATTATTACCAAACAGAAAACAATAAACTTGCAGAAAAGATGGTATACCGCAAACATGAGGTGCAAAAATTTGTACACCATATCCGGATTTCGACAATTAATGTCTCTTCAGTGATGTTAGGAATCGAAACGGTATTTGGAAGGCCATATAT